AACTATGACACTTGATATATAATAACAGGTGATATCAAATTATAACAATGACGTAATCCGTTCATACTTCCAAGAAATTCATATGGAAGAGGAAAAGGTACCACGTGACGAAATTATCCAACCGGGCCCTGGGGAAAACCCGTCTTCTCAGAAGTGTCGGAACATCGAATAAGTTGCATTTCGATTTGAAACATGGCTTTGAGTGAAAACGATTTAGGACTTCTGTGCGCTGGTTATACGGCTATTCTTGGCTTTCAAGTTGTCCCACCGAGAAGCCTTGTTCAACAGAGTGCCGCCTCATCGATATGGGAATCAGCATTTAGTTGGATAAGGCCAGAAAGCGCTCGATCTGTTTTGCCTAAAATAGGTGTCCATGAACTCTTCCACACTACTTATCAACCATTTGTACCTTCATTGGCCCAACCTCGATCCTGGCTCATGCTAGAGAGTGGCTCTTCTGATGATGTCAACGTGACCGTAAAAATGATCAATGGAGGAACAACAACCATTCGAGCACGGCAAGGGGAAACGGTGGAATCCATCAAAGCAGGYATCCAAAGAAAGCTGTCAATTCCTTTCCAAGGACTCCAGCTAACTCATTTTGGACAAAAAATGTCAGATGCGCATACGATTGATATGTACATGCCCGCGACTCAACTCGAATCAGTAGGAAAGCCCTCACTGTGTTGTGTGGGAGGTGGAGGGCCCTATGAGCTTGATTGTTCTGAGTTTGACCCCCCTTACAACTACGACTTTACCAATGTAAAGGATGACGGTAAAGAGTACAAAAGGGGGGGTAAAGTGTATCATCGACCTTATGGATGGAAGAGGTTTGCTGTAAAAGTCCTCAATGATGATCGATATGGTGGAGACAACACCTGGCTTGGGAYAAAAGGAATACGTACGGAAGAGTGCCCAGGTGAGTGGCCTGTGTCCTACCATGGGACAGGAGGAGGAGGGAAAGACGCTGTAAGTTCAATCATCGACAATGGATTTAGTATTGGATCAGGTGCTAAATATGGTGCTGGTATCTATACAAGCCCAATCATTAAGTGGTATGACGATAAAAACAACCGATACACTGCCACGTTTGACTACAAAGACGAAAAATGGATGTTGCTGTTGCAAAACCGTGTCAACCCAGACCCTGAACATCTTAAAATTCAAGAGAAGACCTGGGCAGGGGTGCCATTTTGGATATCACCCCTACAGGATGTTGAGAATGGAGTGTTTGATGTCAGGCCATATGGAGTTTTATTTAAAAAGTGTGGTTAATGAATAATGACATTTCTGTCTTGACGCCTCATTAATTAATTACTAGTAAAACAAATCAAAAACATTGAAATATATTGTAGAAGCAAAAGGTCTTGTTTAAAAAATGTGGGATTGATCTAAGTATGATCTTAAAATGAATAACTTGTCTACTTTTATATCTGTCCTTCTATTACAGTGTAAAAAATAATTTTTATGATAAAAATAACATGGAAATTGTCAAAGCAAAAACAAATATATTAATACTTGCAAATCAGTAAAAACTTGAGTATAGTGTAATCACAAAACAGAAGTAGTAAGAAAAGTAATGGGTGGGGCATGGAAAATAGCATGGGGACTAGATACAAAACACCCTTCCCCAAATCTTGCTCGTACAAAGGGACAGACTAAGGAAAATCTTTTAATTTTCCCTTCGTTTTCAGGTGATGAAAATTATCACAGTTATTATTTCATAACACACATTGTAATAATTTCAAGTGATTGACAGTCAGATAAAAACACAAGAAAATCTAAAGTTTATTAGATTAAAGAAAAGCATTAAACAATTTCTTTATAAGAATAATTTCAAAATTGCATAAAAAAATCGACAATTATGGAATACAATGGAATACGTAAGAACACACCTCCGAAATTCCCCTGACAGTCATGTGACGATCACTTAGAAATATCGACATCTGATTGGCTGATCGAGTATACATGCTCGTATTAACGTCACTTCAATGAGCCAGCGTTGTCACTCGTGTGCTCGTTGTCGAGAAGTGTTCATATTGTCTTTCCCTAAGCATTTCACCATGAAGATCTTACTCCTTGCCCTCTTCGTAGCCACAGGTAAACCTTAATGTATTTGCAAAGCAAGGGAGATAGTTAGCTAGTTCTCTTTTATGGTTAATCTTTAGTTGTTTTGGAGTTTTGAAATCATTGATGCAACTCATGAACATCACGAGACTTTGGTGCATTGTTTCTTTTCAAGTGAATACCGTTATTCATGGAACGTAATTGAATTGAAATATTCTCATCTTTAAATCACATTCTGTGCTCTTGCAGTCTCCGTGACGAATTGCGATTTCAGTGCTAGTTTCGAAACTGATAGTCGAGAGCTTTAATAGGCCATCCTTCTGCCCTGTCAAAATAATCATTCAATTGATATATTAAAGATTACTTAAGAATAGACTAAGATATACTTTTTTCTCCCCAACAAATTCTCATACAGGACTCAGTTAACCTTTTTTTACATGCACATGATGTGTATTGAACAATTGGGAATACATAACTTATCTTGTCTACCTGTCAATCAATATTTTAATATTATTATATTAATATAAGCTTAAAAGCTTATTAAGAGTAGCATTTAGTGTTTGAATAGCAAATAGCACTATCTCATGGATGTCTTTATCTAGTTTATAAAATCCATCCAATATATCATAAGTAAATAACATACTCCAGCCTTCACACTTGTTTAACCTGACCCTTAGTATGTAATGTGTTTCAGTGAGTGCGGGTTCATTCAAAGTTGGTARCATCAAGTGTACATTTGGACCATCATATTGGTGCAAGAACTACAAGCAGGCTGCAGAATGTGATGCCATCCAACACTGCAAAGAGAAAGTCTGGAAACTAAAAGTTTCATCAAATGTATGTACAATGTAAACCCTTTAATGTTGATAGAAGAAATGACTATTTATTGGGGCAGTTAAGGTGATGCTCACATGTAAGATACTGTGACTTACACTATGTGTTTTCTAGGAAACTTGCACAGTTTGCCAAGAGGCAGTGACAGCTGTGAAGTCCTTGCTTGCAAATCCTGACATTGATGTAAGTATCAAATAATAATGAAAAATATGATTAAACTTAATAAGTACAGTACATAATAAAATGGTGATAGTGACCTTAAAAGTTGAAACTACTTTGCCTGCCATGCACATTTCATTATATCTTTGTTGCTTCTATCTTTATCTATTGTAAAAGAAAGCTATGAATATTAAGCAATTGCATAAAGTGAAAGTGAAAGTGAAAATGATATGATATTTCATCCCAAGGGGCTGATCATTTTTGTAACATATTGCATAATGTGTTGACTCAAGAGAATTGTTGAGTATCCATGATTATATTTGCTGTAGTTTGATTTGATTTGAATTTTTGTTTATTCCATAAATAATTTTATTTTCTGTATCTTTTTTGAAGAAACAAATAATAGGATACCTAGAAGATGCATGTCAAGAGCTTGGTGCTTATGCAGCTGAATGCAAAGCACTGGTGGACCAATACGGTCGTCTGTTATTCCAAGAACTTGCACAGTTGTTGGTAAGACATTTTGAATTTCAAAATGACAACATGAATGAAACTTTAAGTTTACATCAAGTATATCAAAATATTGCCAATTACTTTTACTATAATGTGTTTTTTAAGATTATTCATTTTGTTTCAGGGTGATCCAAAACAAGTTTGTACAGAGCTTGGTTTGTGCTCAGCTTCAAAAGAAAAGATAATGGCTGTTTTATTGAGCAAGGCTCTTCCTATCAAAATGAAGGCTTTCAAGGGAATTTCTCTGAAGAAGCATGCCAGAAATTTGATAAAAGCTGTCCCAGTGAAGGCCTCTGCTCAGTGTATCCTTTGTGAATTCATTGCTACTGAACTGGATCAGATGTTGTCCAAGAATGCTACTCAGGTAGATATCTTTGTCACTTAAAAAATTCTGTTTTGTGTTGAGATTTTGTATGGTTTAAATACTGTAGTGAAATTGATTGCAAACATATAATGATGAAATATTTCATGTTCAATAATGAAACTGTTTCTCTCATGTACAAATTAAGCAATTCATTCATGAAATTATTTTCTTTTGTAGCAAGATATTGAGGCTGCTTTGGATAAAGTTTGCAGTTATTTACCATCAACCATTCGATCAGAGGTTTGCAAAATATTAATCTTAAATAATTATATATAAACATATGATTTATTTCTTTTTTCTTTGAATGTCCTTCCAACCATTTTTCTTTCCTTTTTTGCAAATCTTTCTTTTCAATAGTTATTTCATTCTTTTGCTTCTTGTATGTCAATAATTTCCCTGATCATTGATTTTTATAGTGTACAAGCTTTGTTAACCAATATGCCCCAGAAATCATACAGATCCTTGCACAAGAACTCAACCCAAAGATGATCTGCACCTCACTTGGACTGTGCACCTCAAAGTCAAAAWTGAAAAAGCTCCGTAGCAATGGAGAAGGTTGTGAAATCTGTACTCTTGTCATGCAATATGCCAAGAATCTTCTCCAGGACAATACAACAGACGTAAGGCATATAATGTTGTGATGTACATTAAAATATTATATTATAGATTTTAAGGGAGTTTTATTGTTTTCTGTAGGAAGAAATTGTGGATGCTTTGAAGAAAATTTGTGCCAAGCTCCCTTCACAAATAGCCAGTGAGGTAAATTGATGTTTTTACTGTATTATATCAAAACAAGTTCAGCAATCGYTCAGCAATGCCAACAGCAGCAACAGTACAGGGGCTGCAGAGATCTGCCCCCACTTTTTGCTTCCAAAAAATTAATAATAAATGAAATCGGTAAGATTAAAATAAAAAATACTAAAAATCGATGATCAGAGCTTGACTATACTGTGACGGCATCAAGTTGGAAACGCTATAGAGTCAACTTCGCATGCCTCTGGACCCGCTATAAAAATTGCGCCTTCGGTGCCCACATTTTTTACTGCTCCGCGGCCACTGCAATAATAACAACAATAGTGAATAGAGGGTAGTAATATTGAGGTTCTGAGGTTGTACAATACTCTGGCAAATTTATGCATATTATAGTATAAACATAATAATAGATTAGCAATGCAATGTATTAAAGAAAACATAATACAGTATGACCTCGAAACGTCGTAAAAATCACTTGCTGTCTTTATCGTTTATTTTACTACTGATTTCAAAACCACTTTTGATTAAGATAATACAGTGCAATACTATAAATAAATTGGACAGAGTATAAGATCTTAAGTTATAGTTTACTTTTTTCATTTTTAGTGCACCGCTATTGTTAGCGAATATGGAATGGAAATCTTGAAGCTGATTGCAAATTCAGATCCAAAAACATTATGTGCTGTAAGTAACAAGTTTGATTAAATCATGAAATAGGCAATGTGCAGCAAAAACTTTTATACGAAAAAGCATGATGGAAGTTGGAGATATTTTATATCCGTAAAAAATCTTCCCAAAAATCCTCTTAAATTTGTTCTTTGTAGAAACAACCAAATCATGTTTACGTTTGCAAAGAAAAGGCAAAAACAGCTTTAGAATTATTTTATGCAAAATAGTTTGATTGCAACTCCCATCATGCTTTGCTGAAGAAAATAGTTTTGCTGCCTATTGAACCCAGGCTCAGCCCAATGAGTTCTGTAGAAGTACATTGGTATATTTCATCCTTTGTGAGCTGTCTTGTATATTTCTCTATTTTTAGGAAATTGGTTTATGTCCCTCCAAGGCAAGAAGGACACTGCAGGTCCGTGCTCCTTTAATAAAAGGCAAATGTATGCTTGGTGCATCATATTGGTGTGCTAGTCGTGGAAATGCGGTTGAGTGTAATGTAAGTTAATGTACAGTCCTTCCATTTACTTAAATTAAATTAAATTAAATTTTGTTATACTGTGCATTGCAATTTCATAATCTTTATTGCCTTCATTTATTTCAGGCAACTTCATACTGCAACAAGCATGCTGGCAAAAAATGGTAGACTCCGTTTCATCAATCTGCATTATGATTCCCAAGAATTGTTTCTGCTATTGTTGATTGTATTTTGTTAGTTTCCTTGTTTTGTACTCAGCTTGAATCCGGCACAATATCACAGAACATGTTTTTCTATTGGAAACKTCTAGAACACTTTTATGAGTTGTATGACTGAGGAGTGAAACTAGCCACTTATGGAATCAGTCAAAGAAATGTTAGAAACACATGCATTTAGATCAAGAAGGGCAGCACTAAATCTAAGATCTCATCCAATTGGCTTGTTAAAACAAAAAATATAAATGGTGCATCCAATAGTTGAAATCTCTATGTTTGCATTGCTGGTTAATCCGACCTATTAAGTTTTTTTTTGCACTGAATTCTTGTAATAATAATCATTGAAAAAGAATAAAAAACATTTCATTAGTATAAACTTGCTTGCAACAATTTTATCATTCAGAAATAGAATATTTTAATTTCAGGAAGAAAGAAATAATTATATGATTGCTCTCTCTTAATGGTACTTTCATTTGATTAGGTCTAGACTTCCAATAGTTGTTTTTTGACAGTCACTTTATGCAGTAAAGGAAAAGCTTCTCTATTTTTTGGAATATTTTTCTATCATTTTTGAACTYATTGCAATGACCTTGAAATGCTGTCAAGTCAATGGAGGCCTTTGAACAACTTCTGACACTCTTGATTACAGTATTCAGGTTGGATGATGAACATGTCTTCTTGTGAAACAACTTTTGTCCCACATGCAACAGGGCCAGATTCTTTGTAGAGTACCAGTGCTCGTTAAATTGGTTGTTTGTTTAAATAGAACCTGGTTGTCATGACTTGGATGTTCCCGTGATAATGTAAGTGAGTGACTGAGATGTACTGCTAATGGAGTTCATGTACAATGTACTTTGAAATCAACTTNTGAAAAGCAATGGTGAAATTTGTGACATCTGTACAACAGTTCTTACATATTTCAAGAATCTACTGCAAGACAACACCACTGAGGTAGCTAGGATGTAGTGCATTTTGTTGATTGTTAATATTGGGAGAGTTCTATTTTAACTCTCAGTAAATAGGTTTTTGATTTAAACCATTCATTTAATATCTTCACTATTAAATGGTGTTCTAGGGAGAAATTGTTGATGGACTCAAGGAACTTTGCGGTTACCTTCCTGAGCAAATTAAAAGTCAAGTAAGGTGGAATATACATGTCTTCCTTGATTAGACATGATTTGAATTAAAAATATACTGGTACATAAATTTTCCTTAGTGTAAGATGTCATTGTTGGTATACATTTCAGTGTACTGCTGCTGTAAGTCAATATGGGATGGCACTCTTGAAGCTAATTGCCTCTTCTGACCCAAAGACCTTGTGCTCTGTAAGTATAAACATGATGTTTCAGCCCTTGACAATCTAGACAATTATATCACTCAAAAACCAGTGCAAAAAGACACACTCCCAAGGCAAAGTTTTGAGCAGAGTTTTTCCTATAATATTTCCATTGTAAACTCTGGGCTGACAGTAATTTGATTGCTGAGTAATGTTAAGTATGCATCGAAATTTACTGATCCAAGGCCTGTATAATCGCATATCATAACACCACTGACCCCTCAGTATTGGATATGAGCAGTCAATATCTACTAGTTATGTGATCAATCTCTTTCTTTATCTGCAGGATGTTGGTCTTTGTACTTCAAAAGTGAAGAAAATACATGATGCTGCATTGAAAGATAAATGTTACTTTGGTGTATCGTACTGGTGTGCAAGCCATGCAAATGCCATTGCGTGTAAAGTGAGTTCACTGTTTCATATCAGGAATGGAAGATCAGTTCAATCTGTGTTATAAACATTTTTAATCTTGCCATGTTATATGTACTGTACCCTTCAAGTTAACATGGTTTCTTTTCCTCATGACTGATAATATTTAGACGTACTTCCAATCGCCAATAAAATACATTTTATAACAGTTTGATTTATTTTTTTTCTTTTTGTATATTCATTTCAGAAAACAGCATACTGCCTGAAATATGGATGGTTGCAAAAGCAATGATCATAATGGAGACTACATAATTAACGCACTAATAATAGTAATATGACATCTTTTAGACATTCTACCACTCTACTAAACAATATTGCTAACTGTCATTGCAATCCAATTGGGTACCCCCAAGGACAAGCATTTGTAATGAAAATATTATAGGCACTCACATATTATAGGCACTCACACATTATAGGTTCATAAGTATTAATTGTATTAATGCAGCATAGAGAAGCCCTGGGAAATGACATTAAGAGTGCTTTGCTGACTTTCTTTTCTTATTAACATAATAAGTTTTAATGCAAGTGTTTGACTAATCGTTTCTTCAAAAAAAATACAAATCTGAACGAGATAAAAAGAAAAAATGGTAAAATTATCCAATATATATTTTACACAGGAACCCCAACAGGCAGTCAACAACGTGAGGAAGCTTTTGTTGAATTTTTTTATAAAGTATATAATGTAATGTATGATGCATAGTGGCTAATAAAGAAATACAATAAAAATCAATGTATTATGCTTACTCTTTTGATTTACTAGCAACAATTAAAAAATGTATTTACATGACAACAACCTTGCACCTTGCTTCCGGTATGCTCACCACAGGAAGCCCATCAGGTCTATTCCATCAAATCACTAACGACTAGAGAAAAACGGTAAACATTGAAACACAGGGCACAAAAAGATATTGGTGTGAGGGAAAATTGCATTTCTTTTTCTATTTTACCTTTCATTTTCAGCGCAATTTGAAACGGTTGCTTATGACGACTTTCATTTCAAATCGAAATTATTTCCTTGCAGACGACAAGATTTTAATTGAATATGTTAATAAAATCCTATTTTTTGCTGCCGAAATAAAAAATAAAGTGAAATGTGCAACAGTTTTTCACGTTTCCCAGTTTCGATGTCGTCGTTCTTTATCCAATAGCAATAGTGAGACCCCCCTCTAGACCGAAATTGTAAATCAACTCATAGTAACAAGAATAGATCGCTTAATCAATGAAAACTGCATAATCAACAGGCCCTCAAAATTATCTTTATCAACAAGAAATAGATCATTTCTGGTGATTTTATGTATTTTTATCATACTGGTTATTTTTAGAAAAATGTATGCTTATTTTACTTTTTTTCTGGAAATATAATTGTGTTTTTTGATGGCGGTAAATGATCGTAATGTAGATTCTCCTAACATTCAGTTCTGAGCGCTTTAGTCAGTTTAGATCTCGTGTTGAAGGGAAATTTTGTCCTCCGTTTATGAATGCAACGAATGAGTGTTATTAAAAATGATAGCATTTGGAGGCAAACTGGCTATATTGTGAGCTCTAAACTATTCTATATTATCAACAAGGAATCAAGGAAAACTCGTAATTGCTCAAATCAACCAAACTCTTTGCACATACGAAGATACGAGGCCATAAAAATCGTCTTTGGATATCTCCCATTGGTGTTCTCGTGGTAGAGTGATTTGGTCCAGCTTTTGGATTTTTGACGTGTTTCATCTTGAACGTTTCTGCCAAAGTTTACTTGGACGATAGCTGCTGTTTTTATGGGACTATCTGAGGGCATTGATTTGCCTTTCTTGGAGTTCTTGCTGGTATTTATCATGTTTTATGTAGGACTCTGATGTAATGCAGTTATCAACAATGGCCGCTCATCAAGCCAGTCTTCACTTCTGGCTTTAGTTTTGTGAAAATTTCCAACATATATAGTGTACAGTTGTCGGATTTCTCGAGAGGAACACATTATCAAGATTATCGAGTTGTATATACGTCGACAAGAGGTGGTATTTTGGGGTTATTAAACGTATTTTGACACTGTTCTATGGAGATACTGCTTTGCGTGATTGGCGGACAGGCTTGAAAGACTAGAAATTCAAAACTCCCACCATTTTTGAAAGCGTTCGTAACTTTGTATTTGCAAAGGGGATAACAAGGATTTCCTGGAAAATGTTTCATCCATTGCACTTTCGAAAAACTGCAAAGGAGTTAGGAATGGATGCAGGATTGTATGAAAGAGAATACAATCATTTTTTGGCCAAATTGAAGAAGTTTCACGAATCTAAAGGGTAAGATCTCTCACCAATACATTAAATCAGGGTTTTTCGCTTGATATGTTTCGGTAAATGACCAGGAAATGTAACCATTAACCTCCTTGGGTATAATTCTCTTGATTAGATCGCCTTTTCGAAGGCTGCCATGGCTTGGAGGACAGTTTTTGGACTTGTACCTTCTTTACAAAAAAGTCACTTCATTTGGTGGATGGATCAAGGTATATCCTACTCTCGCCTGTTGTAACCAAGTAATTACTCAAAAATCTGTGTTCATAGAGCTGTATATAATTGCTTTTTCTTGTCGAACTTCAAGGTAACAGAAGACAAACGTTGGAGAGACATTGCTGAAGTTTTCAATCTGCCTTCTACATGCACAAATGCAGCTTTCGCACTCAGACAACACTATTCAAGGTAAAACGTTTTTGCCTTCCAGTTTCATTTTTAGATTCAATTGATCACTTGACTAGTAGATTGCACAGTTCTTGAAGTGTTCTTGATGTATTTTTGGGTTTTATAGCGCCGTAATTGTAATTGAAAACATGTTAAAGGAAGTAGGGGCGAAAGTCGTTTACATATATCTCTGTTTCCATTTTTGGATCAGATTTTCTCAGCTGTGAGCGAATCACTGGCAGGAAATATGCGATAACTTTTATTCATCTTTTTGCTTTTAAGAATACACGTTTCCTGATTGTCGTTTAACATTTTATTTGTCATATTAAATATCTTGGAAATGTTATCTGTCGAAATCCTTTGTCTTTTTGTATGTTTTGTGTCCATTACGATTTTGTTTTTAAAGATCTCTGGTCAGATAGGAAACTGTTCAACTGCAAAACTAATTATTAAATGTTCAATTGTTTTAATTCTGTCGATCAGTAAAGCATAAAATGATAGTATTTCATTTTATTCGTATTCTATGTTAGTGTTCTTTGTTTGTCGTTAACCTGTTACAGATATGTCTATTGCTCCAAAAATCACATCAAAACAAAGTTGAAACACGATCTCCTTCTTAAATCTAACCTTACGTCATACTATTCTATATATTTCAACGACCTTGATATAACTCTAGTTTTTTTTACAAAGATATATCTTTTTGTTGTTCTTTATTCAACGGTAAAACGTGTCTTTTTGAGTGTTCCATTGTGAAAGACTATAGTACCTTGTTCATTGCATTCCATTTTTAAAAGGTTGTCAGGGTGATAAAAACTGTATTCCTGTTTAGATACTTGTACAAAAGTTGACATCTAAGAACATCTACTTATAAATTGTACATGTACCTGTAAAAATGCCTTGTAGAAATTCAATTATTTTTGCATTGAAGAGTGAAAATGAAATAATAACTTTAAATTTACATAACATGATGTCTATGATATATCATCTTCATCATTCCTCTAGTTTATTGGCACTAACAACATTTACGTATGAAATGTTTATTTTTGTTTTTGATTTGATTTTTATTGATTTGTATTTGTTTGTSAATTTGTTATGAAAGCATTATCCCACTTTTAACAAACTTTTACTTGAATTATTTGACAGGAGTTCTGGGCTAACAGTTTTTTATCCATTACTATAAATTGATATTTTATATTGCTTATAAACATTTCATTTTAAAGTTCAAGTATTTTGGGGAGCTGTTTACATGTATCTGTATTTTTTATATATTTCAATAAACTTGACCTCTGGAGGAAGAAACCTCTGTTTTGTCTTAAAAAGTAGTTACAGTAATGTTTATTTGATCATTGGGTTGTAGTCTCTTGTAATGTGTCAAGTTCTATCTGATAAACAAATAGATTTAAAACCTTCTGTAATTGATCTTTTTTTTTATATTCTCAGTATTCTATGTATTACACATAATATTTATATGTTGTCATTTCATATCAGATATTTAGAGACTTTTGAAAGAATCAACTTTTTTGGTGAAGATGCAGAAGATGTAATGAGTGGCAGTAGACCACACACTCCTGTTAGTGCTCTTCCCATTACTAGTCCTTCTGGTAAGATATCATACTCTCTTATGGTACTATTACAGATTGTAGCTTAAAATAGGGACATTTGCTTTGATGAATATTGGGAGACAAGTATCATATAAATCTTGCACTTGTTGTAAAACTCTCTTATAAAACTGAGCTGGCAAACTTTTTAGCTAAATAATAATGCTACAACATGTAAAGTGACTGGATTCTCTTACAAGTTCCACTAGAAATTTAAGTGTGTAACCATGTGTGGATATTACTTCCTACTGACCTTCATCTTCAAGTCCATAATCAGAGTGTCTATACATACCTGTACCAGCTGTATAGTACATGTACAACGGGTGATATTTTATTAGGCTTCAACACTCCAAAACATCGTTATTCAAGGAGTTTTATTGATAATAACATTGTAATGTTGAAATGATTGAGCAACCTTAAAGTTGTCCATTCTTGTGTGCTATAGTGACTCTAGTCACAATGATAACTATGACAATTCCCAGATATCCTTTGGATGGAAACAATAAAATTAGGCAGTTTTTATGCTTGTTGCTTGCAAAGGGAAGTGTGAAAGTCTCCTTCACAGTTGTACATGGTGTCTAGGCTCCTGTTCCTGATAGAGATTTTGCTCAGACAGCTAGTCCATTGTGTAGTTTTGTTATTAGAGTAAAATGTTCTAACAAAAAATGTTTGCCTCATGCAATAGTCAGTACTTATTCAAAGTTATGCTCATTGTGAAAGATACCACTATATTTTCTGGGGTTGGCCATGATGTAGCCCACAGCATTTTACTGATGATTCAATTATAATATCTGGTAACACAGGGTTCCCATTCCCAAATAAGATTAGTATTGCTGCATGCTCACTTGCTCACTTAGCAAAAAATTCTAACTTTTACCTTTTTTATTTTTCAGAATATGTCAGCCCATCTCCTGTGGGTAAGTGAATGGCATGCTATATTATATTGATGTTGCAATGAATAAAACTACAGACATTTATTAGGCTAGCCCTATTGAAAATATTGCTTGATACTCTAATTATTACTACCTCAGCTATCTCAACACTTTAGTAACTTACCAGTATATTGTGTTCTGCCTGTTTTGTAAGCTGTATGGGTTATATAATCATGTAAAGTCCACCTAAAAGGGCTCAAAATGTCAGATATCATTAACTCCATGACCTTAGTGATAAGGATTACTTAGAAAATGTAATAAGTTGAAAGTTTATTTCTGAATAATATTTAGTGAATAATTGTCATCGCCATTAATTAGTTAGTGATGGATATTGTACTAGGCAAGGCTCTTAATAAAATAATTGAAATTATATAATACTCCTTTGTAAAAGGAATGCTTTCAGTAACAGCTGTCATTTTACAATAAGCAGTTTATTTTATCATCTAGATTAATTAGTATTGTGGTTTTGACAGACTTGATTCATTCTTAAAAAATGAACACATGTTGACTTGTAATCCAATAATAGACACCATCATAATGACAAATTGAATTATAGTTTTTTAGTTCATTTATATATAAGAATATTAACTGTCAACTATGCAAATTATGTACAGGCAAGGTTATAGTATATACATTGTCATTTTACGCTGTGCTATTCTCTTTTGTATTATTATATTGTTTTATAATCGTTGATGTCTTTTTTCTGTATTCATTCATTTTTTTTCTTGCTTTACTCATTTTACCTTTTCATTTCATATTTATTTATTTATTTATTTACATCCACACAATATATGTTGGACCAGGATATTTTTGACATTTTAGCACAGTTTGGAACTCAAATACTAACATTAAATATAACTGAAATTTTCAGCCTTGAAGTGTTATGCTAATATGTGATCCATGTTTTACCAGATATCACAAGAAATTTTGAGAAGTTAGTGCTATCACTACAATGTGGTTTACCCAATGAAGTGGACTTTGGTATCAACATTTGTATGCTGTTATCCAATGTTAATAATTCTGTCTTTAATCTCACCAAGGTAATGGAAAAATAATTGTCACTAAAATAAAAATAGCAACAATGTGAAATCAATGTTAGATTTGAAGATAAATTTGGACCATTAAGCTACACATACTTTATTTTTTTTTAATGGTAGAGCAGCAGTTTTTGATTTGTAGAATTTTTTTTTTGAGTAATATCCTTTTCTTGATTAGTATTTTATACTTTAGGTCTGCACAATATTGTTTTATTCTTTAAGTTATCCCTCAGTAACTTCCAATGCTTTGTT